TATTCAGACGTAAGGAGGAAACGTCTTCTGCTGAAGATAAACCAGAGCAAACACAAGCAGCCTGCCCCTATGCCCCAGCATGTAAGCCTGCAGCCATGAAGAAGGTGCACCCCAGCACAGGCCCCCAAACCTCTGCATCAATTTGCAGGATCAACTGGCCGTTTGCAGACACGCTCTGCCGTCAACTGGCCAGCGGGATCAGCTGGCCCTTTGCAGACACGCTCTGCCATCAGGCTTTCACCATTGCTCCTGAAGGGCTGTTGCAGCTTGACGGGAAGAGGAGGATTTCAGAAAATCACATTTTTAGGCTATCACATTATTATGGGTGACAATTTTCATCATCCGTTTAAAAGGATGGTTCAGTGCCCCTTTGAGGATTTTAGTGTATCTTGTTTTTGCTGTCTGGACTGAATAGACTACAAACATGGATTTGAAAAATAAAGAGCTTGTTAACACTCTGCAACTTTAAGAGAAAAGTACACACATCTTCCCTGTGGGATTTTCATTTCTCAGATCGAATCCCCACGTAGCAGGGGAGCCATCAATGGCTGTAATGCAGAGTACAGCACAGCAAGATTTTTCATTCACACAAACCCCTTTACTCACAGATTTTTTTTTTTGAAATGCAGGTAAACACTTAACAAAACTGTAGCTGGATAAAGTGAGACTCTGAGAAATAAAATCACTTGAAAGTGTGGCTGCCTGAGTGAAATACTGATATCAACATCCTATTGCCTGAAGCAGACCCAAGTATTAACTGCAGGACAGGAGTTAGCACCAGAGGGCTCAGCTCACTGCTGTGACTCCCAACGCCAATAGACATTTCCAGGGTGTATGAATGTATTGGATGAGTTCTTAATTTAAAGAGCAATAAAGCTTTTGTCATTCAACCCCTAACTAGTGATTCTCCATCCCTACGTATTGATGACTAACCTGCTGTGTTTCTTATCCTCATTAGGCTCCTGTTTGGTGGTTTTCTGTTTTGTTTAGCAAACTCAGATCTGCTAAGCATTCCAATAGCACTTTTCTTTTCCAATCTCAGTATCATTTTGTACTGCAACGCTTCAGTGCCACTTAATACTGCGATGAGAAATATCACATTTACAGCAACGTATATTGCTTGTGTTCTTCTTCACTGCAACAATGAGTCATTATTCAGAGTATGTTTATGTAATATCATAAATACCAATCTCTGGTATTTATGCAGCATAGTATTTACTTGGGCAAGTTGCCACATGCACAAAAGAAGTAAACAAAGAGCCATTCTTTAGAGGGTTAAAAAAGTCTTAAAATGAATCCAATTTTCCTTCATAAGGCACTCCTTGTTATTTTACCTAAAGTGGCTCTTTAAGATATACAGTATGATAAAACACACAATTCCTGGGAGACGTAATTATGGTTCCTAAGAGACTGGTGAATAAACAATCAGGAATAGAGTGTTTGTTTTCCCTAGCTTTTTCTTAACTATTAATGGAAGGCATTTAAAAAAATGAGGAGGAATGTGTTGGGTTGATAAATGGCAAGAAAAGTTGAGGAGCGCACTTCACTGAACACACAGGGCTTCTGCCTAAAAGCAGTACTATTTTATTGGATTGCAAATAATCCTGTTTTGTGAATACATTTGCGGTGGGTGTAAATACCACAGTGAACTCTTTGTGTGTTATATTTACTTTACTGCGTACATCAACAGCACTACGCATGTTCCAAAGCAAAGAGCTCGCCTTGTCTCACATTACCTTTAAGCATTAACACAAACTACTTCCTTCAAATCAAGGTGACAAAACCTTCTGCATAGTACAAAATGCGCTATCTGACACAAATTCCTCAGGGACTGCAGTGGGACCCCGTCGGTATGGCACAGAGCAATCACAAATATTTTTCCAGCAAACCAAGGACACTGCAGTCAACACTACACACGTGAAGGAAACCCTTTTGCACCCTGCAAGAATGCAGCTGAGCTGGGACAGGGACTAATAATACTGGTCTCCGTAATGTCGCTCAAGTGATCAGTCACCTAAAAACAGGCTCCCAGAGCCACCAGTCACTTCTCCACATCAGTTCTCCCTCCTGCTAATCAGGCTGATGAAAAGTCGGCTATTCTGGCTCATGGTGTGAATCTTTCATTTGCTGTCATCTGTACTACTTAAGCGAGCGAGGGCCGTGGTAGTGGGAGCACAGCTTCCCACCGCAGGGCCTCGATGTGCACTGGCACCTGTCACTGCAGGGTTTAACCTCATGAATATAATGACCAGGTCATCATAGTTTAGCAGATGCAAACGTTGACCTCATATTCCTCCTGTGGCAAGAAGGTGTCAGAGCAATATATCACACTGCCATAGTTAATACTCATTTATGATCTACTCACTTCCTTCAAAAATAAAATAGCAAAAGTCATGATAAAGTCTATTTTGCACCAGAAGCATTGAAATACATGCTGATGCCATTAAGCAGTCTGAAGATCACTCCGCTCATGAGTTATGGGCTATTGCCTAACTGATGGGTGATATTTTGTCTCTTTCTCTCTGTGTCCTGCACATACAGATTTCACCAATATGGTTATAAGAGAAATATATGCACCAGATGAATCTGGTCAAGCTAGTACTTGTTCCTGTCTTAAGGATTTATTAGTGAAGTGAATAAACATGCTTGTTGTGGTAATTAACCCCATGTAAATCACAAACCCTGCCTTTATAGGGTTTTGTTTGTGCCGCTGTCATTAAGAGTCATTCAGTGTTTCCAAACTGAAAGGAGGCCCGAGGTGAAACTACAGCAAGGGAAGGGGAAAGACACGCAAAATGCAGAGAAGGAGGCTCCGAGCAGGGGGAACGCAGTGGCAAAGCCAGCCCCTGTCATTGCTCCATCTCCTTCAGGGTCCAGAAAATAGTGACAATAAAAATAGAAAGATAGTGACAATAAAAATAGGTGAATCCTAGAATCTTTGGGCAGTTTCAGTTTGGTAACAAACTTTTTTAATCTAAATAAATAAAATAAAATACAATTTACTTCCATCCTCTTAGCCTGTTCGTGCCGAGGCCCATCCCCCTTGCCGAGCTGAACAGACCCCAGAGCTCGGCTGGCCCTTAGCTGCCCTCACCTGCGCGTGGAGCATGTGGGACCCAGCCTCGATGCTGCAAGGCAGCCTAATGAGGAACTAATTGTTTGTATGATGCTGGTTAGCAGCTCCTCGGCCTCTGGACAGTCCCTTCCAGTCTACTGAAACCAGTAGGACCCTTCTAAATGATTTGCAACAGGCATTGGATCAAATTTAGTATTCCCAGAACAGATACATCCTGGCAGTGCTAGTTCAGCCCACACGCTTCACAAATGCACCCTTATCTCTTCCTTAGCATGTAAGAAAGGTGATTCTTTGGGTCCATCCAGCCATGTTTTCTTCTTTCATTTAATGCCATCTGTAACGGAAACCTACGTCTAACAGGAAATGCCTTCTGTCCTGTAGCAAACAAAGCCTTCCAACTAATTTGCAGCAGTGTGATGCCTTCTAAGAAAGTCTGAATTGACACTATGCTGCTGACTGAGTGGATACTTCAATAACTTGCTAGACCTCTTGCTGACATCTGCTATATAAAGCATGCAAAAGATTATGGTTAAGTAATAGCCACATGAAACAAGATAGTTTCTGTGCACACGTTCTGATCACTTCGGTAAGGAATGGAATCATTCAACAATACCTTTCACTTCAGGACACTTCTTACTGGAGGATGTTTAATTAACTAATAACCCAGGATTGATTGCTTTCTCTAGCCACCCAGTCAGGAATATGCTAGAGAATCAGAAATACAAGCTCTTCATAGGTCACTACTGCTTGGGAGACAACCGGACTTGTCCTCTCACATTATGAACCCATCCTCTCTTATAGCTACACTAAAGAGAAAACGATCACCCAACAAACACAGCACAACACAGCAAAATTGAAAACACATTTGGCAATTTGCATACCTTGCATGCCACAGAACACCCCCAAATCCTGGTGGAAATGTGCATAATGTGCCAGACATCTTGAACCCAGGAACTCCCCTCCCCATAATCCCTCGGGACCAAAAAGTTTCTGATTGTACTCCAGCTTCCCCATAAAAGCTTCATTGTTACTGCAGCCCAGCCTTTACCAGGAGTCATGGCATTGGGCCACAGCCTCCAGGGACACTCTCAAGCTGCACAAAACAAGTTTTTCCAAACAGTTTAAGTATTTCCCAGCCCAAACTCTCACATTCTAGTTGTTTGTGCAGGGACAGTAACCCACCAAGTCCTGCCTAAAATACTGGTTGTTTAAACTCCACAGAGACATTTTTACTAACATTCCTTACTGCTGTAACCTCTTGACCATTTAAAACTACTATTAACGGGCAGACTCCATAGGCCTAATGTCAAGGAGTCATCTCCGCTGCAAAAAAGCAGCAGTCAGACAATAGATACATAATTGCTGCTTCCTTTGGACCACTATTTCAGTCGGTAATTTCTTAGTTTAACTGTAGTTTGCAGCAGTACATGAGATACACACAGGGTCAACCGAATAGCTCTTAGTTGCGATAATGTTTCAGGATGAAAACTCAAAAATGTGTTAGGTGAAAGCGCCGGGGCTCAATTGGACTTGGTGCGATGGGCACTGGAGGAGATGCATCTCTTGGAAGGGCCTGGGCCAGGCTACAGGCAACGGTAGCCAAAGGTGCAAGCTCAGCGCATAGCTCCCTTGCTTGGTACCCCTGAGAACCGCAAAAGCATGGGAAGGTTTTCACATTTTCTGAGAGTAGGCATCTAAGCTCCTGGGCAGAGAGTTCACTCTCTTTACTAAGCAGGCAGCACCCCAACAGAAAAAGGCCATTGCTTGTTGCACTTAAACTTCTTGTCTGGAAGCAGGGGGGAATCCGGTGTTTTGTCAAGGGCACACACAGGCTGGATGCAGGAAAACAATGGCAGCAAGTAGAAGCTGGAAAAATATCACCAGGCCACTCTGCTGCTGCCATTACAGGCTCTGAAAGGGTTTTACTCTTATTCACCGTACATTTGCAAGGGGACACTGCAGACACATATTTCATGGTAGATGGCTTGGCCTCCTCTGTCTCCACCACTAAGAGCGAGAGTCTCCCCCTCTCTGACAGGCTTCTGCCAGCTTCTTCAATATGCTTTATATGAACACCAGCGTATCAGGATCTCTTTGCTCACAGTGAAGCCCAAAATACCCTGCCTTCAGGGATTTGATGAGAGCGGCAACTTCCCACAGCGGCAAGCTGCAGCCGCTTGGCTGACTAGTGGCAACGTTGGCAACGTTGGGCAATGCAAGAACACTCGCACCAGCCCTGGCAGGACGCTGCTGAATGGCCAAGCTGCACCTTACCCCTACAAGGCAGCAGCCCCCAGCCCCACATACATAACAGTCGATCCCCACTGATATTGTACACCTTCCCCTCTCTCTAGCCTTGATTAAACTATTATGGCACTCATTTGCTAAATTAGCACTAAGTAATGAAGCATTAATTAACAAAAGGGCTGACTATAATTCATGGCTTCTGCTCATAATGGACTTCTTTCTCACCGCTTACGAGGCACCTACGTCTCTGCCCTACTCCAAGAACGCTGAAGCAATTCAAAGTCACATGCGCAGGTCGGAGGAACGCTCCAGTCACGCTGGCTCTGCTTCGCTGAGTGGCTCATAGGAGAAAAATAACACCAATTTGAGTCACCACTTAGCACCATCAAGTGTTTGGTAGTTTTTAGTACACAGCCCTTCAGAAGGTGGCTTTTAAATGGCTTGCTCTGTAAAGACGATAAAACAAACAGAATTGGAGCTAAAGAGGCAATTTTGGAGTGCTCAGCACCAGGCTAGCCTCTGCCCGGGCATCAAGGCAAGTCCTTAATGAGCCGCTTTGGGCAGGCGAGTGCCAAGTGGGCAAAACCTTTTTACAGGTGTCTAAATACACACTGTTATTTGAAGAAATGAAAGGCTTTAAAATGCGCTCATAAATTCAGTCGGGGGCCTGTGTTTAAGGGTCCTCAGCCATTGAATCTTTATTCCTACGGACAGCAATTTTTGGACAGGGATCTAGACACTCAGACAAGGTAGCTGCCCTCCCAGCACACTGCCAAGCTTTTCACTTTGTGACGGTGGCAGAGTTCTCTCCTGTTGGGTAGTTTTTGAAAAAAAGCGTATAACGCAGCAGCATCTAATACCTTGGTAAGACCCTTTGGCTCAGCTTGGTCTAATTTGCTAACACAAGCACCATAATTACAGGGCTTGTGTTTATCTCAAGAGTTCCTCGTACATGTAATAGGAGAGGATAATTCATTAGGAGCCCATCAGGGAAGACCAGCCCTGAACTGTCCAAGCCAGGCACAGAGGCTTTCACACACGTTGGAAGTGCTCCAAAAGCCTTTGGAAACCCGGTGCAGGGCAAACTTGACTCCTGGCAAGGTTCTGCTGTTCCACCGTGCACCTCGCTCTTTTCAGCCTTACCTGGGTCTGCTGGCGAGGAGAAAGAGGAGGCTCAGGTAAACTCCCTCATGAGGTTACTCAGTGACACTACAGCCCTGAGATGCAGCCCTTCTTCCTTGCCTTCCCCTAGCTGGCAAAACCTTGATAAGCTTGAAAGCATCAACCTGGAAGGGACTTGCTGGGTAAGCCAGGCTGGAGAGCGCTCCTGAGGGATGGTCACCTCAGACCAACCCAAGCATTTGCTGCGGCAGCACACAACACAAGGAAGGAGACTCACCTGTGAGTGCAGTTGTTTGCACAAGGGTTCTTGCCAATGTAATTGCATTGCTCAAAAGCACACTGCCTTTCTCCTTCCTGACCAGTATAGCTATGCCCACAACATTTTTAAGTGGAAATCGAGCCCAAGTCTCAGAGTCGGACCTTCATGTGCCAAATAGCACCATCTTGTATTGTCTAGTAAGCTGTATCTTGCATCTCCCATCTCATAGGCTGAGCCTCATAAAAGGTTACTTGATGCAGTATGAGCTGTTGACTGTGTAATGAGCAACCCTGCAGAGCAGGAGTCTCTCCTGGCTGTGGCCTCCGCAGGGGCTGATGCCTTGATCTTACTTCGTGATATTTGCTGAAGCTCTGCACTGAAATTGTCCTTGCTCCAGGTTCAGCAACACTCTCTGCTTTTAAACACTGATTACAGCTGTTCTGGATGCTTTGAGACAGCAACAAACCAACAAAGAACAGCTGATACAATTAACTGATTGGAAAAGTAAGTTCATGGCATTTGGGGGGGCTTGAAATATATCTCATGTTAATGCAAACATACTATGAGAATTCCACTAAGTCTATTTCCAAAACTGTTTTATATCTGATATAATAGTACTATGGAGCTGCACCACACAATTACATCTGAGCAGGCTATGAAGGTAAGTGAGATATTGTGCAAAGCCCTGAGGGCTCTGCACCCAGGGGGCTTGTTTTTCAACATGCACTGCAATGTCTTCTCTTTGCAGTACAGTGAATTCCTGGCCTTAAAGTGGGGCTATTGAGTGTGGGAACAAAGTGATGGCAACAGCTCTGCAGTGGTTACCATCAATGGGGAAATGGGAGGGTGGCAGTGCTACCAGGAAGGTTGGTGCCTCTTTCTTGACTGTTTTATGGGGTTTCTGACAATTGTTTAAGATATTTAATTTATAAATGTCCCAAGTGACATTTTTACTTCCCAGAGGACTGAAACATTTGAGCTCTTGCACTGAATTGCTGGCTCTGTTGAAGACCAAACCATGCAGCTGCCTGGGACGTAATGTTAACATGCAAGGATGGACACGGCTGTCAAGTGCGGGCCCTGGCGATGAGGCCTGCCTACGTGCACCCGATGAAAGATCACAGCCACGGCAGCTGGCAGGAGCCTTGCCACTGAAGTGCATACAATCACAACTGCTCTCACTAAAGCTACATTTGGCCTTTTATCTGACCTCCTTTGATCTTTTCCATAACCTCTGGCAGGTCTTCAGTGCATTCAGTTCTTTATATTAAAGCAATCTATCCCACATGCAACCAATTAGTTTTAGACATATTTTGGTGACCGTAATATTGTACAGACGTTTTACCAAGTTTTCAACAAGAGAGGGTGGCTCCGACATGTCACTTTCTAGTGGGGAGCATGCTGACTGCAGTTCAGAAATATCCCAAGGAGAAAAACATAGTCCAGAATTACACTCTGAGCCCAAATGTCCCACTTGCAGACAACAGTCTGCCTTTGTGTACATACAATAGGGACCCAAACACTCTCCGCCTTAGCGTGCACAGCACGCAAGGGAAGAATCTCACTAGACCTGTGTGACCAGGTCTGTCATCCAATAACCTGATCACCTACTGCTGTCATTGCCCATGACACGCACCAAATGCACTTTGTGTACCAGAGACAAAAAGGCAATGGCTCCTGCGAAGTCCTTTAGCTCCATCCATTTTGTCCGGGTCCCTGTGGAGGGACGGGAGTACAGCAGTTCAGTCAGTACAAATGGGTACTTGCCTTCGCACTGAACGCGGTTCGATCCCCTTTGCTTCTCTCTCCCCTGCTGCTGTACTGATGCATCGCAGTTGGGCTTTGGCCAACGTTTATTGTATCATTTAAAGCTCCTCTTTGGGAAATCTTCAGTTAGGGCCACATCTTCCTTCTGTTCATGGTGTGAAGCCCCTGTTGATCTGCATTACTGACCTAGACAAAGATAGACGTGGTCACATCCTAATCCCTTACCTACCATCAGGCAGGTTTGGCCTGATGGGGGTAATGCTTTGCAGAAGTAACCAAGAGAAATTCTTACCCTTTGGAATAGGCTCTTGAGAGCATGCCTGATACTTGGCCCAAATCCTGGTTAATGCAAGAGGAGGCTTGGAACTGCAAAACAGTGGGAGATGCAGCTGGGATGACAAACATCCCAGAAATCATTCACAGGAATGTACTGGCAACCTGGTCTCCCTCAGTAGGGCAGAGAGAAAAGCAGAGAGATTGGAGCCCCAGGCAGCCCCCCGTCAAGAAGCATCACCTTCTCTTGCTACAAGTGTTTGGCACAGGGCAGCATAGACCCCGCAGTTAGCAGTTAAAGCACCACGGTAGATCACAAGGAAAAACACAGCATCGAACGAAAATGTAGGAAATAGTTCATACTCAGGCATGAATGAAAAATGAAACTCACTTCTATTCAGATAACCCTGGAATAGCACAAGTCTTCTAAAATCCAGCAGAGGCAGTGAAAGCACATGACCGCTGCCTCTTTTCAGTTCTGGGATACAAGCTATTGACATTACTATTTGTTAAACTGTCCTAAGAGCTGGTTCACCCTGGACTTTGTCCTGTTAATATGGGAGATGGAGCATGTTTCCTCATATGGGTAATTTTCTTTCAATGGAAGGAGCCAGCTTTGATGGCGATTGGTAGCTTGTTTGCTAGCTCCCTTGCGAGGGAGAGGATTTCTTGTACGTCAGGGGCTTGGTGCCCACACGAACATCTTCTGATCCCATTCTCCCACACTTTGCGAGCTCTTTATGCAAGGAGTGCTCTTTTCATCTTGTTCACATCTTGCCAAAGAGAGAGAGACACCTGTGTGGGGACCTTGCAGGCCTCACTGTAGTACAAACACAGAGTACGAGTCCCACTAGACCCTGGTTCTGGTGTTTTACTGTATGCAGAATTTTTGCATTACAGCTGTTGTAGGGTAAAAGGTCCGGATAATATGGCAATAGGATCTCTACTGAACTTCAGATGGAAAATTATTTAATGGAGTAAACATCATCCTGTCGCAATCAAAATGCTTTGTGAAACTATTATTTTCACCATTTTTTTGCAGAAAAAGTGCCAACAATTTTTGGAATAAAACATTTTGATTTTTGATTTTACATAATATATGTGTTCTTAAAAGTTATAGTGATCTAAATAAGCCAAAACTATTTATTTTTGTGGAATTTTCCTTCGCAGAGAATTTCAACATTTTGCGGTTTTGTTCTGAATTGGGAATGAAAACAAATTTCAAAATCTCAAAATCGTCTGTGAAACACAATTTCCATTCTCTGGCCAGCTCAAGTTTCAGACTAGAACAAGTATAATAGTTCCCCTGCAGGGAATCCCTTTAGGAAAAGAGTGTCTGAATGAATTTACTGATGCAAACACAGAGTTTTTAATATTTGTCTATTTGTCCAAGTAGACATCTGCACCACTGACAACTTCTTCAAGTCACTACACAAGAAGCCTCAACAATTTCCTGAAAGACTTATTTCTGAAAGGCATTGCTAACTTAGTGCAGTTGATGGTGGTCATTTCCTGGTATTGATATTAGTCAGTCGGTTACAGTTGTCACTTATTTCACACAGACCACAGAATATCATAACTATTTTCTTGTCTAACCCTATTTGAACTGTTTTTAATGGCTTCAACTAGAGTTAGAAGTTGTTTTTTACATTTTCAGGGTAGCTGATGTGTGTTCAGATTGACACATGCAATAGAACAGAATTTATATGCCAGAAAATTTAGATGGATTTAAATATTTACAGCCTTGGCAAATACTTCTGCCTCAAAAAAACACTATACGTTATAAACAAGCAGACTTGCACTCGCAGATGCAAAGGACAAAAATCTACTCTTGGATAAATTAATTATTAGGGACCCTGATGGAGACCTGTTGTTCTGTTGTCAAAGGAGTTACTTTGGATTTACAATGACATAAATGAGATCAGTAGCCAGTCTGCTCACAGCAGCTTTATATATCACAACAGAATGAAGAAGCTTAATACTTACATGAATTAACATGAATAGATTGTAAGTTAACCATGCACTCTAAACCAGGCAAACCACCATGCCGTGGTTTTGTTTGCTGCCTTTTTCTTGTTTTGCTTTATTGCAGGAGAACCTGCATGTACTGTGAACGGAGTGTGCAGCGCGCATGTGCTGGTGTATTCGAGAGTATCTCGGTTCCTCCAGAAAGCAAAGGCTTTGTGTCAAGGTGAAAGCTGAACTAAACACACACTCTGCAGTCAAAGTTTGTTTATAACTCCTGACTCTGCTGGGTCAGTTATGTGGCAGTTTCACTAAACAAACAAGTAGAAAGCAGGTCAATGTCCAAATACTGGAGCTCAGCTTATTTAGACTGCTTGAATAGCTGTTAGAGGAGTAAACCCGTACGAGAAACAAATTGCCCCTGCAGTAAATAAAAATGCATGAAACATGTTGGATCAAACTCATGCCCGGGTATGACTCTGGGCTGCCCTTGCATTTCACCAAGATGCATTTGACCAAGTGCCTCAGCCTAATACAGGAAGCTATGGAAAGCACCCTGCTTGGCACGTTTGTTGCAGAATCAGCAACATAAATCTTTCAATCCACTGTCTTGAGCTGCTATATTGTAAGGTGTGTGTTAAATCATCACAGCAGGAATTTTTTTTACAGAGGGGAAAACAAAACAAAATTGCATGGTAAATCTATCAAGGAATGACACAGAGGCACCCAACCGGTTGAATCACTACCACGTCTATCCCTTTCCCATGCCTCAATACAGCAAGGTATTTTCTGAAATTGCTCCCTGGTCATTTAGCTGTTTATCTTGTATATATAACCCACCTCCTTTACTAGACTGCCCATGCATTTCATACCCCTTAACGCAGTTTTCTTTCAAAGCCCTGTGAGGTAGAGAAGTTTCATTATCCTCTTTTCTATATAGGCAATTGAGGCACGAAGTTAGGAAGACAGACTAGCTACCTAAATCTAGGCAGCTAAACAACAGCCCTATCTCTAGCTGAGACTTCTCTGAATTTTCTTCCTGAAAGACTGAATGCTTGTCTGCATCTGGAGGAAAACATTTCCATCCGCTCATCTTTCAAAACTCCCATGTATTTCCTTACAGAACACACAAGTATACAGACGAGCAGTTACCTGATGCACATAAACATGTATCTACCTGGTCATAAATTTTTTATCAGTCTGTAACTGCTATCTTTTGACTTAATAGCCCATCTTTCCTTCTATGCTAGAATGCATGCAAAAAAACCTGCCCATCTGATTAGACATCTAATTTTAATGTTAAACAATCCCTATATAAATATATTCCCTCCTTGCCTTGTATTGTCCAAAACACGTGTTTGCCTGCTTCCTGTTTGGAGGCTGACTTTACAATGGCACTGACAAGGAGCTTGGTCGCACCGACGCCAGGCAGCTTGTGCAAACGCTGCGCCACCGCTCTACAGCGGCTCTTCTGCTCTTGGGAGCAGAAGGGGAAAAATACTGCTACTGCAGCAAGTGGAGAAGGAAGAGTCTAGCAGGGAATCAGCTCAGTGCCAAAAGGAATGTTTAGTAGTTCTCATGTGCTTTTTAGTAATTTACTTTTTTATATCAGCAAATCCATTAACTTGGTCACTTTCTTCAGTATAAAATTTCACTATCGCCATTTTAGGATCATTCTTAATTTTCACTCACTTACTAAGACTCTTCTCTTTCCAATATGCATCTGCTCTGAGCCTTTGGAAAGCCCCCTCTTCGGTTACTCTCTTGCATTTTTGTTCTCCATTAGCATTTCCGAAGAGGACTGGCAGAAGCCCTTGCTGTTGGTCTCACATATGGCCTTTGAGGAAAGCAAAGGTAAGCTAGCGTCGTCTGCTTTTGCACACTCCAAACTGAAAAAAAAAAGGCAAAATTAAAGCAGTCTTATTCTTATCATTATAGATTTATTTTAAAGGAAGTGGGCCTTGAACTGGTCTCAGGAAGATCACAATATAGGAATCCCTAGATTCCTAGACAAAACCTGTCTAAATGAGTTTGTGGTCAACACTTGAAACGAGCAATTGGCCTTCCCACCAGCTCTTACAACAGTCCGATTATGGCAGAGCTCCACGCGGCTGGCACGGAAAGCTCCTCCGCGGCTTCTGCTGGAAGCCTGACATCTGAAGGTGCAGTAATATATTAACTGTGCACCACAAGATAGAAACCACTGCTTCTTGTGATTCCACCTTGAATACTTTTTCCAACTCAGTGTTAAAACAGGTAAGCAAACAGGGAGAACAGTTTAAAAAGCAGCAAACATGATTAAAATACTTACAGGAGAGGAAGATACTGTTCAGCTGAGCAAAAGCAAGAGAGAGGCAACCGTCCAACTCTGAGGATGAGGGATTTGCTCAGGGAGTGACAGAAATATTTGTCTAGAAGCCATAGAAGAAAATGAAGGAAAATATGCTTTAGAATGAATATCAAGATGATCTTGTATCACTAAGATCTAGTAGGCTGGGAAATACTTCTTCAGGAAAGCTCTGGATTTTAAAGTCTAACAGAGATTTTCTAATAGCTAAAAAATAAACGCATGCATAGAGTAATTAAAATAACATTAGATTCTCACGCAGAACGTAGAAACAAAATAGCAATAGCACTTTTACAGCAACAAGTGTTACACAGGACTAAAAACCGAGTGAGACAAATATAAACTGCTGTCCCACAGTTAGGCAGCCACAGTCTCTGACCTGCCACCCTGTCAGTGGGAAATAGTGGGAAGAATTAAATGGGTCAGTATAAAAACAGTAAGGAAGTAGAAGAAAAGCACAAAATCCATGACAAAAAAAATCAGTAAGGGAATTGCTTTCTGTTGTCCACCTCCTTTTACACTGTGGAGACAGCTGGTTTGCAATGCCACTGTGAAAGAAAAGCCTACTCTAAGTTTTCTCGCACCTTACTAAGCCCATGATCTCAATTACAAACATTAACTTTTTTTTTTATTAGTAGTAGTAGCAGCAGCAGAAGTAATGGTTGTTGTGTTGCAGTAGCATTGAGAGTCACAAACTGTATGCCTTGGCCCACTGCACTCTACAAACACACAGTAACAGATGGAAGAGTTTTTAAACCAAATCAACGTTTTACAAACAAATAAGATCAAGGTTTTAATTTGCTCTGTTCCAGCAGAGATTTATTTGCATGCTTTCTTTATCACTGTGAGGAACGTGACTATTCACAATGTGGAAAGTGAAGCACATGCAGGACCAGAATCAGCAACAAGCAAGCAAGAGAGGGGAGATGGAGAGTATTAGCATCCCTGAAGATTTCATTTTCCTTTGCCTCTTTGTAACGTGAAGCTTCATTTGCTGCCAAGCCCCCTGTTCACTCAGAAAGCATGGGTGAAGATGCAGAGCATGCTTTGATTGCCTTAAAACTTTAGAGATTTAAAAATGGCAACAGAGTTCGGCTTCTTGTTTGGCCTCTGGTTTTTAAGTCTTGCAGTGCCTTTGGACCACATTTTCAGGCTTTTCCCTGCAACTGGAAAAATTAGAAATTTATTGCTAAAAAAAAGTGAGAGAGGAGCTGAGACTTGAAGAAAAAGACCCCCCAGACTCACAACAAAATCATGAGAATTGAAAACACCAGACTTAAGAAGCTCATCCCAGCTTTCTGCTGTGCATATGGAAAACCAGGCTGTTGTCAGGACTAGTTAGCTAATGTTATAAAGCACTCAGAAGAAAAACGTTCATTATTATTTAGGAGGAAACCAAAGTGTAAAGTGTTTTACATATAAATCTGCCCTTTAGAAGAGCAACATTAAAAACACAAGATTGAGCTCTGGATTCCTGAAGGATAATGAAGAGGTTTTAAACACAGTCATAACTCATTCTGCATGAAAATGACTCAGCACTGCCTGCACCAAACCGAAAGCAGGATCTCTGGAAGTGATTAGGAGTGGACAGTCTCCCGTCACGCCTTCCCCCACCAAGCTCCTTCTGCTTGGGACTGTAGCTGTGCAGAGCAGCCCGGCGAAAGGAGCCAGCCCCAAAGCTGAGCGCAGAGACAGCAGCTCCAGGCCTGCTGCACCTGAGAATTCACCCACCTTCGGGCTGGGAGCAGAGCCGGGGGGGCAGCACAGCTCTGTCAGCGCTGGTGGGCAATGCCACACAGCAGAGGCTGTGAAACATGCGCTGTGGAGGTCCCTGTGCCCACGTCACACTGATTTCAGGGGGTTCAGCCCAGCCCTGGCCTGGCCCTGCGGCCTGAACACCCCTGTTAGCACTTGGTGCCCGTTGGGCGCGCTGCTGGTGCGCCTGCACAGCGCGGGCTCAGCTAGAGCCGTCCAGCGCACGCAGCTGAGGCCACACTGCAGCGCGAGCGGCACTGGGGCGAGTGGGACGATGGGGAGACTGACTTCAAAGGGGACTGCTGAGCCAAACGGACCCACTGCCACTGCTTCACCCCCCGCTTGCAGCAAGGGGCACAGGGAACTGCAGCTCTGGGGACAGAATTAAGCCTTCTGAAAAAATACTTTAGGCCAGTGATATTTAACTTTGTCCACTAAATAAGGTCCCTAAAAATGCTGCAAAGGGGATGAGGACTCCTTTACACCAAACATCTCTCTGCTGACCAAGGGTTTGCCTTCCTTTGCACCTTTTGCAGACTCTTCAGAAGTCCCTCCCCTCCCCAGACAACCACAGCTAAGAATCACTGATTTGGTTTTTGGACCAGATCTGCAAGCAGCAGAGCTCTGTTCAGTTTGGTGGCAGTAGAATAATTCACGCATGCTGAAACATTCATTTCCTGGCCTTAGCCGCCTTCGAGTTGGATCTGTCTTACACACTACATAACTGCCTGGAACCCGCTGCTCCGTTTCTCCTTCAGATGCGAAGCGAAGGCAGTGCTGTTACTTTGTTAGGAGAGAACTTAAAACAAACAAGCCGCCACCAACTGCAGTTCATGTATATGATTATGATTTTAAATTGCAAACAGGAGGCTACTTGGCTTTGCATAGTAAGCATTGTCTGGCAGCGGATGGGCTCCTCTGATCTCCCTGAGCCTTGGATTGCTGCTGTGAGATTGTGTCACAACTAGTCATTAATTATTTCATCAAAAGCTTATTTTTCTCATTTCCTCATCATTATTTCCACCTAGTTTCTTATAAATTGAATCCAGCTATTGGCAAGGCTTGCTTCTCCCCTCAATGGGGTCAGGGCTCTGCAGAGAAAAATATTGACCTTAGATGAAACCTACTGTTGATATATGTAGTTCGTGTGCATGCGCGTGCACACACACAGGGAGAAATCACTATACATATGTATAACCGTTGCTCTTACCCCCCATGTCCTCCCACTTACTCTAGAAGAAAACTCCCCTTCTTCCTACCCTTTAGTAGATAGAAAAGGTTGTCATTCCCACCATGAGAATGAGTAACTGAGGGAAGACAGAAAGGAGAAGAGAGATGAGTGCAGCTGCCAGGATAAACCCGGGAGATTCTAGCAGTACCTTCATCTCCTGGGGAGATATTTATATTTTAGAAGTGTCACAGTATTCTTAGAAAAACGGAGACCCCTCCTGGTAATGCCCGCCTTGATAGACAAAACAGGATAGCTCTGGCACTACTCACGTGAGATATTACTGCATCAAGAGGGTTGTGGGTGGCAAACTTGAAGTGGGGCGGTAGTGAGAGGCAGCCAAGACGCAGAGAAGGGACTCGGAAAGCTCTCCTGTCACCCACTGGCGAGATGCTAGCCAAGAGAAAGGAGCAACTGGACCCACTACCCCGCTCAGGGAATAAAAGCAGCCTCATAAACACATTTTGGGAGAGTCAGTAAGAGGCATGAAGGCTCACAGACTGCAGTGGGCCAGAGGTGAGGGCAATGCCCAGGAGAGGCTCTCCAGGCAGGCCCTGCAACCCAACAACCTTCCTCTAAAACAAAACAGCAACAAAAGCCGTTAGACACAAAGCTGCTGCTGCCACCCTTCTGGAGCTGGAGCAGCCAGCACACAGGAGACAAGCATGCTAGCAGCAACTTGCTCCTCCATAAGAGTCATCCTGGTGAAGAGCCCAGTTGTTTGGGGGAAAAACAGAGTCTAACAATAGACTCAGCATGTAGCGTGCAAAGCAAGACCCCTTCCGAATCTCACTCAGCAACGGGGTAGTGATAAGCGCAGTTTGTCCTGCAACTTGTACTAAAGAACGCAAGATTTACCACAAGGACTCTGACTCTTTCACAACCCAAGAGCACAAGAACACAAGAGCAGCCACACCGGACCAGGCCAAAGGTCCATTTAGCTCCTGTCTCCAACAGCGGACAAAAGCAAAATGCCTGGGGAAAAGTATGAGCACAGGGTAAGCACATACAACATTTCCCCTGAGTGCTCTCCCAGCCCCCAACCATTTCCAGATTAGGAGTTTCTGGAGCCAAGTATGGTTTTTATGCAGTTAGAGCCCTGTAAGTCTCCCTGCATTGCATCCTTCAACAGCCCTTGTGCTTCCCCAAATCCCTGTGCTCTCTCAAGACTTATTCTTTCTGACCCTTATTTATGCATTTATCCTCCAGATTCCCTTCACCCCCTTCATGCCTGAAGTATATCTCTCTATACAGCTCATCAAAGCCATTTTCCCACCCTTAGTTTAACACACTCCTCCTTTCTTCCCCTGTCCCTCAAACTCCACCCTACCCACTGAAAAAGATGCCTCATGCTCAGGTTACCTACTGGGACTGTCAGTCAGTAGAAGATTGGCTCCTCTATGCGACAAACTGCTTCAGAAGTTGTTTTAGCTCCCAGGATACAATATTTCCTGTGTCTCTTCACCCTCATCAGCTCTCTCTGACCCTTCATCTAATTGTTCTCTTTCCAGGCCTGGTGCCTCTAACTGCGGCTCCAAAAAATCTCTGGATCATCAGAACTCCCCCCAGAATTTTGGCTCATTTGCAGCAGAACAGTTCATGAGAAACGAGGAACCAATTTTCTGGGGCTGTCACCTCATGTAACCAAAGTTAGTACATGGAGTGTGTGACACTCCCAAATTACAGGGATTAAACGTACATCAGATTTCTGGAAAGTGTGAAAAAGACAAAACCTTAGGTATTTCCAGGAATCCCCACATAATGTTTTTTGATTCTGGAGAAAGATCCATTAAGCTGTCTACAAGACCTTACTGGCAAAGACCCCATCCTCAGGGGACACTAAATATAGGGGCCCAGTTTTAGCAACTCAGCACTGCCAGTGAGGAGGCAAGTCCCTGAGATCTGCACCACTTAGCTTATTCCCAGAAGCAGCAAGTCATTTTTGGTGCTACTGCAGCCAGTGGAGGAGCCCACGTAAGAGATTACAGCTGGCCCTTTTGACAGATGCCCTACTGAAAGGCGGTGTCCATGTTTCATCCTGGACTTCCCCAATGATGAATCACCTCTCCAAGAAAGCTATT